CAAGGATGACTATTGTAACTCCCCCATTATGATTCATATCTAGACATCCGCCCCCAAAGCTTCATGCAATCACAGGTGGGAACTTTAGAAGGTGATTGGATCATGGGGGAGTGATGCTCAACGGGAGAACACTGAAGAATTAACAGGTAATGTGATGCTGGGAGGTGAGGCCTGGTTAGAGGATTTGGGTCACTGGGGGGTGAGGTCTGGAAGGGTGTATCTCTCTTCCTCCACCTTTGATTTCTCTCTGCTTCCTGCCTGCCTTACCATGAACAATTCTCCTCTGTCATATCCCTCTGTCATGTCTGGGAGCCATGGACTGGAACCTCTACAAATTGCAAGCCAAAATAAACCCTTCCTCCTGTAAGTGTTGGGTACTGTGTCTCACCCATGAGGAAGCAGTGAACACCCTCCACCCCTAAGATGACTCTCATGGGAGGGTCTGCAGACCAGGATTTTTGTGAGGTTCTAGCCAAGCTCCTACTTAGAAAACCAGGCACAAGCCATGACTACTTGATCTGCTGCCCGGAAAAGGCCCTAGGGAGAGCTGTGAGCCACAGCATCTGCTGCCTAATTGGCATTTGGCCTCTTAAAAAAGCAAACCTTCCTGAGTATACCCATGATGGTTGACATTTGAACCTGTCCACTTAAGGCATATGGTTCATAGAGTTCGGGCTCGCTTTTTCATCATTGTTATTTTTAGGTGAATTTAAAGTAGCCCCTCAAACCTGTACTAGAGACAGAACTCAGGGGCTTCATACTTTATGCAGCTCTTTTCTGATCCCTTTTCTTCCTTTTTAAAAATTTTATGAAACAATAAAACAAAATTTCAAAACAAAATAATATAAAATTTTATGAAACAATAAACTTTCACAACAAAATAATGTAAGAATAACAATAGTTACACACTGTGTATCATTATCCTTATTTTGACATATCAGTCTCACCAGAGACACTAAATTGCTTAAGCTAGGATCGAACTTGCCATCCTTCAGACTCCCAGAGTGCTAGGATCACAGACATTCACGCCCATTTCTGACTGAAAGCAGCTTTTCCTTTGAGGGCATTGAAACCATCCCTTTCTCAGTGACTTTATCAGTGTTTGGAGGGTGGTCTTAAGAGTTGAGGATTAGCTCCAAAGCTCAGTAATGACTGTGGCAATGTCTAAGAAAGGAAAATAGAGAAGGGTAGAAACTTAGCAATGTGACATCAACATTCCTTGAGTCAAGAGCTGATTTTATTTATTCTTTTTTTTTTTTTTTTTTTTTTTTTACTTTTTCCTTTTTTATCGGTACCAGGGATCGAACTCACGACTGCCTGCTTGCAAGGCAGGCGCTTATGCCGCTGAGCTAAATCCCCAGCCCCATGATTTTATTTATTCTTGAGGCCCCACAAGTCTTTTTAGAACATTGTCTGGCTTAAGGCAGAGACTTCATATGCATTTTCTGGGTAGATGAATAAATTAATGAGCTCTATGCTCCATACAAAATATTGGGAGAACTGATTTCTAAAGTTCCTTGCTCTTAAGTTTCTAAGTCTGACATCTGTGGTCACTTTCCCAGGATCCATTTTTATCTTCCCCCTTTCACAATTACTTTAAGTTTTCTAACTATGTGGGTTCTAAGGATTCATCCTTCCTTGAGTTCCCGCAGTGGGTTTTGATCAGTACAGGAAAGTTAGCAGGTCTCAACTCCCTGACTCCACTGATGCATTCAGGAATAGGTACCCAAATCAATTTGGAGACTTTGCTTAAAGTGTCAGTAGAGTAGATTGTCTCTTTGTTGGTTCAGTTGCTCCTCAGAGAGGAAGAAATCTCCTTGGTGCTGTTAGTAGCTACCTGAGGAAAGACATACTAGGAATGTAGTCAAATTTTGGAAAGTAGAATTAAGAAAGGAAGAGATACATACAGAGTCACAGTGATATCATTGGAGTTGATGGAACAAGTCACGCCTGAGGTCAGTGTATCTGAATTTTTTGTTTAAGTCAAAGAAACAGTGGAGTAATACATTACTTGTAGCCAAGAACACTGCAATTAGCATTAAAACTTAAAAATGCCTTCCTAAAGCCAATCATTAGAAGTAGACTAATTTTTCTTTCAAGAATAATGTCATAATTGAGGCTAATCATTCACAATGAGTCAAGTATTTGCTACTTACAAAGAAAGTGTGATGGAAGACTACCTAGATTCCATAAATGATATGTTAATGAGTTTGACATCAGCATCTAAAATTAATTTCTCAAAGGATGGCATGTGAACAGTCCAAAGAAAAGAGGTTGATGATTCCTAAGGCTCAGAATGGATTTACTCACAGGCTATTTAGAACACAACATATTTAACATTTTGTTATTAAGTATCAAACCTTTGTTGGACTTTCAGATGCCTCCTACTGTTACAGCATAATTTGGGTTTTAGAAGTAGCTCCCGAAGATCTGTAAGGCTCTCACATTCCTTCTACAAGTCGTCAGTCATAACCACAATTAGATCCCAGCCTTTCTGTAAAGTTAATTTCAACAGGAAGAGTAGAGTTCCTGGAGTCCATTTACACTGTAGGCTTAATTGTTTTCCATTTGTGTCCTATTAGACTCTAAACTGCAGGAAAGTGTAGGCCACGTTTTATTCATTGTTGATTTCTGATATTTATCCTGTGACATTCAGAGAGTATTTGCTGAAGGCCTAAATGAATGAATGGCACTCTTTGGAATAAGATGGAGTACTGTGAACCTGAGAACAATATTATGAGGTACAGTTATAAGTGATCCAACACCCAAAGTCAAAGAATTCACACACCCAGGACACCCAAAAGACTGTTTGCTCAGTGGCGATCTGCAGGGCTTTCACAATTTGCTTTTGGTGCTGCGGATGCCATACCTCCCTCATTTTGGAGAATCCACATCACTAGGGCCCCTCAAAGAGCCTGAACAACTATTAGATGGGTCCAACAAAAAGGAACTTTTCATATGCCATTAGGTTTTATTAAATGGCTTAGACCACCCTTTTGCAAATGCTGTTTTATGACTCTAGAACAAGTGGAAAAAACAGAATTTAGGTAGAAAATTTAAACCCAGAACACTAGGGTAAAATTGATACTATGAACATGTAATTAGCAATGTTCTCTCCAGCTTCCTTAGGACATACAAGTGCTTTTATGGGACAAATTGGGTGGTCCAAGGTGACACAGAAAACAATGAGATGAAGTTGAGCCAATGCCATCTTTTTGCTTCAGTAAAGCTCTCTGTGGTGGCATTTGCTCAACAAATATTTATTGGGTGGTTAATGTATGCAAGGTCATGTGCATGACAGTGTGGCAGACACAGTGAGTAGGGAACCTCCAATACTGCTCACTACAGATATTTTGTTGATTTACTGTCAGAGTACTTCACACTCCATTAGGAAACAAACAAACAAAAACATCCAATTACTAAGTCATTAGCATTGCCTTTTAAAATCGAAGCCCTAGATTGGAAGGGCCCTTGGAGACCTGCAAAACCCCTTTATTTCACAGATGGAAGAACAGATTCCTGTAATGAAGAACGAAGTGCCTCTGTATGTGCTGACGTGGAAAGATGAAAACAAGTTATTTTTGAAGTAAAACGAGCAAGCTAATGAACATCATATACAACATAAAGGCATTTGGACAAAACAAAACAATAACAACAAAATGCCTTGATATTAAGCGTGGCTTTATAAAAAGCAAGCAATGGGAAAGACATACATTACCAAACTGACAGAGGTCAGTCCTTGAAAGGTGAAGGTAGGGACTAGAATATGCAAAGAGGGCTGGTTTGTGTAGATTAATGGGAAATTCCTGTCTTGGCTTTGTGTGTTTCGTGTAGCTTCCTATTGCTTTTGTAACAAATAGGTACATATATGTGTGTGTGTGTGTGTGTGTGTGTGTGTGTGTGTGTGTGTGTGTGTCTATGTATATATGATACTCATACAGTCCCACATTGCTTAATGATGGGGATGCCTGCTGAGAAAGGCATTGTTAGGTGATTTCATGGCTGTGTGAATATCGTGAACTCACACAAACCTAGATGTACACCTTGAGGCTTCATAGTATATACTCTTTACCTGGGTCCCTTAGTGACTAAGGTTTAATTATGCCATATATATATATATTAAATAAGTAAAAAAAAAAGTCTTGGAAACATACAGTGGTGATCCAGGCTAGCTTCTGCATCCTACCCCAGAGGCTGCCCACTGCTTTCTGTGAGATCTCTGCCCAGTTTCTTAACCTCCCAGTTGTGGCTTTCTGTTACCTGGAATGGGGATAATAATAGTGTCCATCTACGAGAACTGTGACGAGAATACGAGATCCAGTGGCTTAGCACTGGCACTAAGGCAGGTTCCCAATAGAGCACATCCATAGCGCTGGTGATAAGTATCCTCAGTATTGTGTTTAGCAGTGGAGTAGAAAGAGCCCCTGGCAGTGAGGGTTTCCAGCTCTCCACAGCCCTTTCCTCTCACACTGGAGAATTATCCCTTTATATGATACCCAGGAGAGAGAGTTGAAGGGGATGATCACTGCTGCCTTCATGAGGGGGGCTGACTAGGCAACTGATGGGCAACATGGTCTCTGTTTCTATGGAGTCACCCTAAGTAACTAAACATTACCTTTTGCTATCAGTTATTTTTTCAGTGGTTAATGCGATTTGCTAGCATAGTCTTAGAATGATCAGCTAAGAGCACAATTCATGGAGCCAATAATTGATCTTCAGGGATGCAAAAAAAATAAAAATAAAGCCCCAAATGCAAGTCAAAAGGTCCATCTTCTTTCTCTAAGCATTCTTGAAAGGAATCACAGGCCATCATCAGCTCTTGGAGATCGTGGTCATGGGAGAGGTACTGAGTGAATCACCTCTGACAAAACTGTCACCTTGGTGGGAAAGGAAAGCTCGGATTTCAGGGCTAGGATATGGGACTACCGTGTGCACTGCACCACCGGCAAGAATCATGCAAGCAGACTCCAAAGACTTCAGATGAAATTTCATGTACTCACAGTATGATTTCCATATCGGAGGCTGGTATTCTTCAGCATCTAGAATAAAAAGAAAGAAACCATTCCATCAGTCTGGGAGGCAAACTGTCAGCCTGTGTCTTCTCTGAAGGGGGAACAGTCTGCCAGCTAAACTTGCACTCCAGCCCCAGGGCACTCTTGGCTCCCTGGGGGACACCTCCGTGTTTGTGGAAGGGGAATGTACATGAAGATTTGGTGGACCTAACCTCACTTTCTTCAGATCGCTTACTGTGACAGGAGATACCGCTTCCCAATTTTCATAGAGCCCAGTAAATCAAAGAAGATTTTAAAAGCAATTAACTTGATTGTACCCTTTAGAGTATTTACTCCACTTGGCATAATAAACATATAATTTATCTCAGAGTTTCCCATCAGACCTTTGGCCCATTTATTAAGATTTGAGGGGAAGACGCAGAGTGGCAAGTATGTATATTAAATGGGGAGAGTTGTGCAATCCCATCCACCGAGCTCCTAAAACACTGGGTCTGTCAGCAGGGACTCTGATGATTCAATTGGAATTGCATTATCTCTTTGAATTAACCGCAATGTGGGACTTAGAAAATTTCCAGAACCCCTACCCCCAGCAATCAGAGTGTCAGAGTGAGAGTTACAGCAGGATGGAGAGGATGGAATTGTCATTCATCAACGGAGCAAACAGGCAATGCAAGAAAGTCCTCTTGTTCAGTTGACTCACCCACCTCATGCTGACAGCTAACTTATTATCCTGATGGCAGTTAGGAGTTCTGGGCTCACAGCTATGATGCCAGGGAGTGGAGGAAAGACCCCTCCCAAGTCACATCATGTGCGGTAGGAGAAACTTAACAGATCTCCAATTCAGCACCTTTCCATAAGGAATCTTAGTTTTCATTATCCTCTACTTACAGCATTACCCTTGGTCTGTCCCTATTCTGTCCTGTCCTGTTAGAATTTTTCTAACCTCACACAGGAAGATAGTTTGAGAAAGTTTTTCTCCCTGAGAAATGAATGTGCTATTTATTAATAAAAACTAACTTAAATGTGGTAGACTTCTCCCCAATTCAACTAAAAGTGCATTTGTGTACTTACATTATTTTACAATTAATATCTTGTTTTCTGGAGGCTATGGTATCACAGTGTTCAATTAAATACCTACAAAGATTGTTTCAAACATCTGAGTCTGGATCTGAGTTGTTAGGAACCAGAAATTGGATAGGCCCTGTAGGCCCAGTTAAAATATACTTGTGTTGTTATTCATCTGGGTTTGCTGCATTAAAAGGGCATTAAATCTCAATATTTTTATCAGAGCAAGAGAACAATTAGGGAACTTTTAAACCAAACAATCAGTTTCATTCTGTATATAACAAAAACCAATTTTAATAAGTTAGCATAAATGTTTATAAAGAGCATTCAAAAGTGAAATAACTTGCTGAGTTAGCAGTGGTTTGTTCGTTTGTTTGTTTGTTTTAGATAATGTCTTGCTATATAGTCCAGGCTGGGCTTGAATCTACTACATAGCACAGGCTGGCCTTGATCTTACAATTTTCCTGCTTCAGGTTCCCAAGTGCTTGCGCCACCACGCCTAGCTACAACACAATTCTAGAAACGCCATATGTTAAATGTGGATGATATCTTCAAAAATAAGTATATACAAAAACACACAGTGTACTGCATAGAGATGTAAACCTCTGAGATTCCAGGTACACCATGCTGTAAAGTCTCTTTACTTCAGATGAGACTCATTCTGCGAGGCATATATGACCCTAGATCTGCAGTGCCCAGGATTGTTCAGCATTCAAGTGCCACTGTGTATACACTGAGGGGAGGCCCAGGCTGAAGAGTAGCATCCTTCTCATAGATCTTTGAAAAGTCCCAATGCTCAACTTGGTTTTGGTAAGCGTTTCTTTCTAACACCAGAAAAATAAGTTCAATGAATTCTTAGTATTGTTGTTCTAACAAAAACCTAGAATTCTGTCTCAGCTAAAGCATTGGTCCATAACTTAACATTTGTGTATATCTCCCTGCAGCTTCCTAAATGAGCTTTCCCTTTCTGTTGCTTCCTGTTGGCAATACAACACAGAGGAAGGAAGCCACCTAAGGGAGACCATAACTTTCCCTTGACCGAAGTCCCCCAGTGCCTCCTGCTCTCCGCCTGTGCAGTAAATAGGCACCTCTCTGTGCCCACTTTTGACTCCAGGGTGGACTTTTCTCCCCTGTTCACTTTTCATTCAGTCACCGTAGCCTTGTCTCTGCCCCAAGAACAAGCCACACTCCTCCAGGTCCCTGATCTTTGCTCCCATGAACTCTCCACTTAAAATCCTTCCTGATGGATCTTGGCCTGGCTTCGGCTGCTCAACTCAAATGTCATCTCTCAGAGGCTTCTCCCACCATCCTCAGGCAAAGTCGCCTTCACCTGCCCCAGTCCCTCTCCTAACACACAGCAGCTTATTTTTCTTCATAGTGTTTATTACCATCCGAAATTATTTATTGATTTGTTGGTTTTCTAGGACTGGTTTCACCTCACTATTTGTCAGGCTCCATAAAAGCAGGGATTTTTGTCTCAATCCTTTCTGCACCACCAGCTTTTAAAAGGATGCCTGGCACACAATAGGCATTCAAAATACTAAAACAAAAATATGTTCAATAAATGAGTGGTCTCTCAGAGTTCTACTCAAATCCCACCTCTGACGACTATTGGCTGTGTAACTTGAAATCAGTATTATTTAGATTCTTTTGAGTGTCCCAATACTCATCCTCAGAAAAATCTTAGGGGTGCCATGATAACGAAGTCAGATAATGCATATGATGTTCCTGGATGTGTCTGGTAATAGCCAGTATGAACGCAGTCCTCTCAGTGTGGCTGTGCTGCTGTTCCTGAGACGTCACCCTGACCTGCGCCTTCCCAGGTGGCCCGCGCTCATGTCTTTACTCTCTCAACAGCAGCCAGTGACAGTCTCCGTTCTTGCCCCAGCTCTGGAGTCTGTAATTAAGTTCCAGCACTGTTGTCATGGAAGGTTTTTCTTTGCCATGAAAGAATTCAAACTGAGAGGCCATTTGCCATGCTTCAGCGGAACAACTATAATTACCTTGGCCTTGGAGACACGTTTCACAAACCACCAAAGCATGCTGTTAGGAGGCCTTGGTCAAGTGGCAGAGCACGCAATATTTTTAGTATGTTGAAATGAATCTTTAGTTGCTTCCAACTGCACGCCCCCAACATCTTATTTGCCCCAACCTCACACAATACTTTCAGCAATCCACTTGGAAAGACTGACATTTGACTTTGAAGCTGGACTAGGTCTTCAAGGTCACTTAGTTCACTTTCATCATTTACTGAATGAAGGAAATGAGACACAGAACAATTAAGTGGGCTCCTCAAGGTTAAAAATCAAGCTAAAGGGACAAATGGGAGTTTTGCCTTCCAGTCATTGGGTGCACCATAGCATCCTTGCCAGACAGCTTCTTAATTTACATATATTGAAATCAAGAGAACAAAATTATCATATATCAGATTTATGACTGTAATTCTTATGATAGTTCAAAAAAGATGAAATATAGAAAAAAATTAATAGTATAAAAAAATGACCAAAGTCAAATGATGGGACAGAATTCCATCAACGCACACAGGGCTAGGTGACACAGTCAGAAACTACAGGAAGTACCCACTACAGAGGTATGACACTTTCTGAAAATATATGACTTTGTTAAACATTTTAGACAAATAGGCATAAGTGTAGAGGAAGAAAACATTTAAAAAGAAGTTCCAAATTCTTGGGAAAAAATTTCTCATTGAATGCAGAAGACAATAATGCATTTTCAGAAAGGTACACAAATTACAAAAATCACAGAGGTCTAGAAAATATATTTCTTAAAAGCATCAACTAATAGGTAGCTAATATTTAAAAACTGTGCCAAACTTTTTGGACTCAGCAGTTTTGTCCATGGCATCTTACCTAGGGCAGTAATTGCACATGTGTCCAGGACATATATGATCAGGTGCTGCTGCTCTAAACCTGAGAGTACAGCAAGAAGACATGGCTGAGCAGTTACCATCTCCTGAGGCATGGAAATGGCATTTTGTTCACAGCTCTGTGTTGGAGACTCACTCAGCCTCTGGAGTGAATCTCTCTAGGTTCAAACCCCAACTCTACCACTTACTAGTTGTGTGACCTCAGGAAAGTTATCTAATCTGTGCCTTAATTTATAAAATGAGAATGATAATACTACCAAATATATGGCACTGTGAGGACTGGATAATCCTGGCTAATAAGAATATCATGTCAAATCCTCAGAGAGAAAGTAAGACATAAACTTCAAGTCCTTAGTTTTATATGCAAGAAAAGGCTAAAAGAGAAAATAAAAATAATAAAATAATGATAATAAAATAAAATGCTCAGTCATATATCTGATGTTTGGTAAACTCTATGTTTGCTGTCATTATTGGTTATCTTTAATGACAGGAAAATATGCTACATCGTTATGTATTACACAAATGGGGTTATATAACAATCAATTACACATAAACATTTATATAGAGAGAAATTACCTAAGAGTCTATAGGCCTAACTTCTAAAAGATGTTACACTTAGTAGCAAAATTACAGAGAACTTTATTTTTTCCTATTGTTTATTGTCATTTTATAATTTTCTGTTCATATTGCTTGTATTAAAAATTAAAAGAATGAGAAATAAGTAAGCAGGAGTTCTAAAGCAATCTTTTAATAAACATACTATGTAAATCTACCTTGAAAATAAAGTAGGGGTGAAAAGACCCATTAAAAATAGTTTTTATAACAACACATGCTACATGTGCACTATTAGTGTAAGAAGAAGGAAAAGTGGATACCAAAGAAAAGAGAGGAGAGTTTCTGGAGCTAAAGACCATGGCTGATACCCTTACCGTCTTTGAAAAGTCCTGTGAGACAAACATCAATGAGCAAAAATGCAGACTGGGAAGCAGGTATCTCCTTTCATTATATAAAGGGAAATAATGGAAAAAAAAGACATAGATACTTAGAAAATGATCCCCAAACCTTATAAAAATAG